TTAAAAAAAAAAAAAAAATATATATATATATATATATATTGATTTGAGGTCCAGAGCAGTGGGGCCCTGCACAATGTGAGGGTCATGTCGGAAGACCCTGGGTTTGGATCCCAGCTCATCCTGAGTGAATCTGTGATCCTGGCTAGAAGGCCAGGGAAACTGATGCATGGTGTGACTCCTATTTGGGGGCCCTGTGTGTGTATATATGTGTTCCAGCCTCCACCCCCTCACCCCCTCACCCCCTCTCTCAGGCAAAAGGGGAAAAATAAAGAATTAAGGCATAGCAAAATATAAAGCAAAATAACTTCATGACTTTGAGATATTCAAAGTTTTCTTAGGTTTCTTTACAGAAAAAAAAAAGACTGAATTTCAAATAAAATAATATAAAAAGTTTCTGCTCATCAATAACATTTTTAAGTAAATGAATAGGCAGGTCAAGTACTAGAAGAAGATATCCCCGGCACAGATATCTCACAGGAGATTTGTATATGGAACATATAAAATACTCCTATAGCTCGGTGATTAAAAAAAAAATCTCCAAATAAAAATGGGTGAGAAAATTTAAGAAACCTTATGAGAGAAGACATGTAAATAGTCAGTTGAACACATGAAAAAGTGCTCAAGAGTTTTAGTCACCAAGAAAATGATAACTGCAGCAACAGTAAGATACATTAATACACATATTGGAATGGCTAGACCAACACCACCACTTGGGGAGGAAGTATAATAGCCAGAACTCTTGTATTTTATTGGAGGGAGTGTAAAATAGCACACTTTCCAGAACTACTAGGTTTTTATAAAATTGAACATACATCTGCTCTACGACCTGGCAATTCCATGTCACAGGAGAAATGAAACATAGCCATTGAAGGACTTATGTCAGAATGTTTACAGCAACTACATTCAGGTTGGCCAGAAACCAGGAGCAGCCCAAGTGCCCATTAATAGAAAAATGGACACATCAATGATGATGCAGTTATACAATGGAGTACCATTCAGCAAAGAAAAAGTTACTGAGACATGCATGAATACAAATAAATCTCAAAAAGCAATGCTGAGTGAAAGAAGCAAGAAAAAAAATTTAATGTATGACTGCATGTATATGAAATTCCCAAAGAGGCAAAACTAAACTAGTGGTAAGAATCAGAAGGTCAGAATGGTAGTTGCCTCTAGGGGAAGGTACTGACTGGGAAAAGGAACAAAGACCTTTCCGGAATGTGATCAAATCTACAGAACCTATTGCTATCCTAGCCCAAATGAATCCATTTCTTTGCCTGAACCTGGCCATCAATATTTTTACACTGCCCTGTTCCCTTCAGGCACCAGGTGATTCCCTGCACAATAATGGTTATAATCTCACTAGATTTCGAATCTTTAAATTTTGTTACCAACCAATATTTGTCTTTAGTTTTACAAATGAAAACTATAAAATATACTCATTTGAAGTAGATTCCCTTTATATAAGTTTAAAATAAAACAACAAACAATGCTACTACGTTATACCAGAACAAATGTAAAAGATTCCTATTAGGGCCAGCAGATGGTGTAGTGGTTATGTCGCTGGACTCCCAGATGGCCAACCAGGGTTTGAGTCCCAGAACCAGTGGCTTGAAAATTATGCTGGGTGCATGTGCCTGTGTGTCCAAGATCCTGGGAGGAGAAGGGATTGTGGTATGGCCATTCCCCCAGGGGGGTTATTTCTCACATTCCTTCTCACTGTCTCTAGCAAGCACATGCACCCTAAGACAGAAAACTTCTCCCCTCAAAAAAAAAAAAAAAAAAAAAAAAATTCCTATTAGTACCAAAAAAAAGGGGAAGTGGCATTTCTCTGGATAAATTTGTATGCTTGCTGGTTGGATAAAGAATGCATAACTACTATGCCTCTAATTTTTGCCGTGGCTGCCAAGAAGTTCAGAGCCAAATTCAGTGCTCAGTTTAGTGATTAACATCTCAGGTCCCTGATATATTAATTTTTCTTGGGGGTAGGGTGTACAAGGTGTGGTATTAAATTATCCTGTTTTCCTACTATAAACTACTTCAAATCATTTGGGGAAAATGATGGTGTATAAATCATATAAAATGTTGGCCATTTTGACAAAATTAAATATTTTTTCACTGTAGATATACATTGTATGTTTCTCCTTCTTGTCAAAATAGGTTAGATTAGGAGGGATTTTTGCTGTTGCTTGAATGATTAATCTGCTAAAGGTGAGTCACTATGCACCCAAATGATCAAATGATGTAAAAACTACATCATTTAAAAATACAGCCATATTGACAGAGAAACACTTCACTTACATTTAATTATAAGGGTTAGACTTGAGGCACCAATATAAAAGTAAAGAATATGTTAAGAGTCCCTAATGGATCATAGATGGCATAAGAAATTTAAGTGCACTTCATTACATTCTTAGGATAAAGGAAGTAATCAGATCTGTACGCAAATGTGCTCGCTGCTATTCTGTTACAATGATAACTGGTGTCAGCTGCTGTGATTTTATCAGCTGAATAGGATATTTCCTGTCCCTTTTCATTTAACAAAACCATACAACCTTGGCCCTCGGGAGAAAATAAAATGTCTTTATTCCCAAAGGGCTTATTCTAATGTAACATTAAGGAAAAGCAAAAACAAAAATGAACACCACCTCACCTGAGCTGCTTCAGTCTCTGCCCATCCAATCAGCTGCTCTTCTTCCTGCACTTTTCTCCGTGCTGCCAGGGACTCAGCACTTCTCTCACTGTGGGCTGTTTTTTCTATTAACCTGTTTCGCATCTGATTGACTTGCTTTGTTGCAGCCTTCCGTGACTCAACCTGTTGGCATAAAGTAGTAATATATAATGAAAACTTTGGATACTCACTTGGAAAAAAACACATACATGTCCAGATTCTTCAAAATTCTAAATGTCGAAGTTTTAAAACAGGGAAAAATGAAGAAGAAAGCAACAAATGGATGTTATAGAAAACATATAGTAGCTGGTAAGACCCAGTCTCTTTATCAATGGGATACGACCAGTGAAAATTAGTGTTGCTATTACGCATGCTTTAGAAATGATCTCTGCAGATAATTTGCTTACTGAAAATGGCATTTTCCCAGAAAGTTGTCACATTTTAAAATTGCATATGAATTCATAATTGACCTTTGCTGGGAGTGGATTCAGTACATCTTTGTACTTTAAATTCTTATTAATTAAAATCTTAGTTTTCTATCATTGAGGTGAGCCTAATTAATGTGAAAGTATAAATGGAGCTTGTGATGTTTCTTATTTTACTGTGCAGGTAGTTTAACCTTTGTCCCCAAACGAGTAACAGTTCATGTCATCTATACTGTGTACAGTACCAGAGGTTAAGTTCTCAAACAAGCTTGCTGTCTCTAAGGTTTCTTTTTCACACTATGGTGATATCTGGGGGATGACTGACTCTCAATAACCTTGAAGTAGACATGGAAACAGGTCAGCTCTTAGAATACAGGTGGAAGATTGAAAGCACAGTGAAGGTCCTTATGTGAAGTATTTGTTCAGGAGCTTCGTGTTTACAGCAGCTGAAAGTGCCCATCACCGTTTTCATGGGTTAAGTAGAGAGCAGAGGATAGGAACAGCACAGGGGAAATAATGGAGTAGCCAGTGCCAAAATAAGGGAATGAGTTACATTAGCTGGGCAAGCACAGCTTTAATTTGTAGTCTCTCAATTCTTAGCTTCTATTGCCAACTGTGTTCACTCCGTCCCTTTAAAATATGCTGGTGTTTTGTGACAGGGTCTAAGTTGTCATAATACCATTCTTAATTCCCTTTTCTTCTCGGATCCCAGCTTATCAAAGGAGGGCAAAACCTCTACCTTTCAGTAACCTGCAAATTGGAAATGTTTCTTAATCACCCAGGGATTCTTTATTCCCGCCACTCAATCCTCTCAAACTACTGGGAAAATTGATTTGTAACCATCTTCTAAGCCACTCTTCCACCGAAGTCATCTTGGTAATAAACGTCCATCACATCACCGGTGTGAAACAGTCACCCATGGCTGCCACACACCATTTTATCCTATGGAAACACTGGCTAACCAATCATCATAAAAATGTGCTGTGCTATAAAGGGCCGTTAAGGTTTTTACTCCAGCTTTACTGAGATACAGCTGACAAAAATTATATATATTTAAGATGTACACTGTGAGGTTTTGATAAATATACATCAAATTGTGAAATGATAATACAATTGGGTTATTTAATACATTCATCATCTCACATAGTTACCAGTTTTGTGTGCGTACATGGTAAGAACATTTAAAATTTACCCTCCTATTCAAGTATACAGTATGGTTTTTTTTTTTTAAAGGCTTTTGCTATAGGGAGCATGCACTCAACAGAGAGAGACAGAAAGAGATAGTGAGAAGGAAAGTGAGAAATCATCCCCCACCCCCAAAGGCATGGCCACACCACGATCCCTTCTCCTCCATTCTCCTTCTGGAATTTTGGGCACGCAAACATGTGTCTGGCATGAATTTGAGTCCCAGTTCCAGACTCAGACCGCGATTAGTTATGTGGAAGCCCAGCACCTCAACCACTACACCACCTCTTGGCCCCTATAGTTTTTTTTCTTTTAAGAATTATTTTTAAAATGTTATTTATTATTTTTAATTTGGCCAGAGGTAGACAAGAAAGAGAGAGCGAAAGCAAGAAAGCAAGCTGCCAGATCCAGGACTCAAACTGCAGTCAGCCATGTGGGAGTCCAATGCCTTAATTACTGCACCACCAGTCGGCCCCAGTACAGTATTCTTAACTACAATATCCATTTTATACATCAGATCACCATAACTAATTCAGCTAAACTGAAAGTTTGTGCCCTTTTGCCAACATCTCCATTCCTTCCACCCTCCAGCCCTTTGAATTTATTCTACTCTCTTGCTTTCTGAGTTCAACTTTTTCAGATTTGGGATGTCATATAGTTTTTGTCTTTTTGTTCCAAGTTTACTTCACTTGGTGTAATGTCTTCCTGTTTCATCCATGTTGCAAATGGCAGGATTTTCTTTCTTTTTTTTTTTTCTTTCAATGAATAATCTTCCACTGTGTGTGTGTGCATTTATTTTTACCATCCAGTGAGGGCTACTCAGGGCTACTGTGAATAATGCTGCAAAGAATATGTTTGTGCAAATATTTCTTGGAGATCCAGATTTTATTTCCTTTGGATATAAGCTCAGCAAATAGCCAGATTTATGGTCACTCTATTTTCTATTAATATATTCAGATTTGTAGTGCCTCCTGTAGGCACTTTAGGCATAAAGATTTTTTGCTCTGGGTGCTTCTGTTGTACAATAAAATTTCTATCTATACTGAATTTTCTGTGAGGTTTCCTGGAAGGGATGAGGCCTCTGGTTCTATTGTCCACTGGCCCATCACTAGGCTGTCCCACCATGAGCAACTCTAGCTAACAAACACAATGACAGCCAGTTTGTGAGAAATGTTTGCATCTAGGGAAACTTACAAATGATAGGGGTGAAGTGGGATGATTAACCCTTGATTTTCCAGAGTGAAACTTTCTTTTTTCTCAAAGATTTAAACGTAAATACAGAAAATCCTACAGGTATCTCACACAATCATACAGAAGGACACACTGTTCAAATGCATATTATTCAAGAAAGCAGCTACTCAAAAGGTAGTTTTATTTAATTTTTCACTGGAACTTCACATTGTTCTATAAAGTAAGGCATATTTTTGGATCCTTAAGAATTAATAAACCAAAAATATAATTTGTATTCTGCTTTCCTCACATATAAAAAATAAACAGGAAGAAATGTTCATTAAATCTTTTTTTTTTGGGAGAGGTTTTTGCTATAGGGCGCGTGTGCTCGCCAGACAGAGAGAGACAGAGAGACAGAAAGCGAGAAATCACCCCCCAGGGGGGATGGCCATGTTGCAATCCCTTCTCCTCCATTCTCCTCTCGGGATTCTGCGCACGTATATCCACCGGGCCCGGGACTCGAACCGCGGTCAACTACATGGGAGTCCAGCGACACAGTCATTACACCAACTGCTGGTCCCAAATCATTTTGAGAATTAAAGCTCAGAAAAAAATGTTGTGAACTGTTAAACTGTCTACAGTGATTACTATTACCAATATTACATCCACCCTTGATACGCTGTGGGAAGCTCAGGTTTAGAGAGAATGAAGAAACAAAGTTTCACTCTCTGAAATGAAGGCCAGCTGGTTTAGCTCTGAAATATAGTTTCCCCTGCCTAGGTAAAGAACGGTTGCACACTGTACCCAAGTGTTTATACCATTATAATTTGGATTCAGACACGTATGTTATAAAGAGGAAAACACTATGAACTGATAAAAGGATTGACTAGCTTGAAAAAGTAGCTTACCCGAGGTTGAACTGGGGCCTTTAATAAGGCTGTTTTCTGGACCAGCCAGTGGTGTGGTAGTTAAGGCATCTGGATCCCACATAGCTGACTGTGTCAGGTTTGAGTCCCAGGCCCAGCAGCTTGAAAAACATGCCAGTGCATTTGTGTATGTGCTCAAAATCCTGAGAATGGAGAAGGGATTGTGGCATGGTCATTTCTATGGGTAGGAGGGGTGTCTTCTCTCTCTAGCTATCTCTCTCGGGAAGTACACATTCCCTACAGTGAAATTAAAAAAAAAAAAAAAAAGACCCTTTTCCAACTTGCCTTTAACATTCTAGGAATCTCAATATACCTCAATAAGCATTCTTACTGAAATGTGGTTTCCTTCAGTGAATTTTGGACATTAAATCCTAGTGGGTGGCATAAGTTGACTGGTGGCTTTGATGACAGAGTTTTTTTTTTAGAGAGAGATTTTTGCTATAGGGTTTGGTTCATGCACTCGCCAGTGAGACAAAGAGACAGAAAGTGAGAAATCACTTTTCATGGGATGGCCATGGCACAATCTCTTCTCTTCCATTCTCCTCTCAGGATTTTGTGCATACATGTACACATGCCCAGCATGAGTTTGAAACCACCAAGACTTGGAATCAAACCATAGTCAGCTATGTGGGAGTACAGTAAGAGCACCATTATGTTGGCCCCAGTGGCAGAGATTTGACGGGCAATGCTACCTCAAGAACACTGCCAGAACTACGAAGCATCTTTAGCTATATATATACCCTCATTCTGATTGAGGCAAATATCCCTTTTCAGGGAAAAATACTGACATCTCTACAATCTCAGGAACAGTATTTGAGGACTTCAGTTTACATGGAATAGTTTATAATGCCTAATAAAATCTTGCATATAAAAATAAAAAAATCCTTGCTTTTCTGTTCAAAAAGAGGTTGCTGAAACCAGCAGATGGCATAGCAATTATGTCACTGGATTCCCACATGGCCAACTCTGGTTTGAGTCCTGGACTCAGTGGCTTGAAACTCAAGATCCTGAGATCTTGCCCAAGATCCCAAGAGGAGAATGGAAGAGAAAGGATTGTGGCATAGCCATTCTCCACTCCGGGAGGTGATTTCTCATGTTCCTTCTCACTGTCTCTGTCTCTCTCTCTCTGGTCAGCACACATGCCCTAAGGCAAAAACTTCTGGGGAATATAAAGAGGGTTGCAAGTATGGTAAGATCCATATGATGATTCAATACCTAACAAAAAGATTATTTTGCAAAGAATATGACTATATTTCCTTCAGTATATATAACTTTCAGTTATACTGGGAAAAATAACATTAAAATAATTAAACTTTAAGCCCTGCCTTACTGCGTGTTCACCAGCTACCATGCCGCCTGTCACAGCTACGACCTCGTGGTCAGTCTCCTCAGCTCTATCCCCCTGGTTCAGCCCCTAGATGCATCTGGACCATAGAGG